GGGTGGGAAGGATGCTCCGTCAGGGACCAAGCCGACCCCCACAGCAGCTGTACGGGACAAGCTCTGCCAGCGCCGGCCCAGCGAGCAGCACCCACGAACGCACCCCGTTTTCCTCTGCAGGCAGCTCCTCGGCCCCCCTCGTTACCCACTGGTCGGGGTCAGGATGCTGCTAGGCTCAGGGACATCAGGGGTCCCCTGGGTGCCAGGCGCTGGGGTCTGGCGTGAGCTCTGCTCCAGCCAAAGCCAAATATGCATCACAGCCAAGGCCCCGAAAAACAGAAGTTGTCCATCAGCTGCTCGTTGTCCCTGGCCCCCCTGAAGCCCCCCCCCCACCCCAGGCACGCAGGGCTCCGTGGGGCAACACCAGCGGTGGAGAAGCCTGGGGCAGCTCAGCACCAGCAGCAGGAACACCTGCGGGCAACATCTCCGCCCCTGTGCCAGGTCCCTGGGGTACTGGACGGGTTGGTGATGCCCATGCCTGGGGTGGTCCCTGGGATGGCGGGGGTAGATGCCGCGGCATCTGGAGTCATGGACAAACCTCCCACCCCTGCCTGGCTACCTGAGGAGGGAGCTCAGGGCATTTACCCCACTACCCATGGGGGCTGAGCCAGCCAGCCCCCCAAAAACAGCCCCCCAAAAACAGCACAAGAGCAAGCTCAAGGTGAGCTTTGCCCACAGACCCATGCCACGGCACCGGGAGAGGCTCTCTGAAGGGTCCGGATCCCTGCCAGCCTCTGCCCGGTAGCATCATCATGGATGGCTCTGCCCATCAGCCCCTCAGATCACCGCTGCGAGCCCCCTGGCCCTGCCATGCCGTGGTGAAGGCAGCGCAGCGCACACCGAGCCGTGGCAGAGGGAAAGCCGCGCGGTGGCCTTACTTCTCACGGTTGGCGTGGGCCGAATGCTCCTGAAATGCTTGTTTTTCCTCCGCAGGGCCATCTTGTACTGCAGGGAGAGAGGGACGGTGGTGGCTTCGGCATTGACAAGCTGGCCGTGGCAAGCGGCATCCCGCGGCAGCCGGAGCCAGCCAGGCTTCGCCCGGTGCTGGGTGCAATCCCTCCATCGCTCCCAGACCCCCAGGGCTACATCCCCTCATCTCAGTCCGGCACTGAAACCACCCACGACGCCAGAACAGATGCTTTCCCAGCCGGGACCCCGCGCTGCGCTGGACCCCAGGTCCCAAAGCGACGGCCAGCCAGAGGGGCTGCGTGTGGCCAGGACCAGCCCGGGCCACCGCAAGGACATGGTCCCGGTGCCGGGCAGGGCAGGCAGCATGGCCGGGCAGGCTAACGGTCCTATTTCCCAGCACTAATTGCCTTAGTGCTGCCCTGGGGGGTGCCGGGGGTGCGTGCACCCAGAGAGGCCGCGGCGTTAAGCCTGGCATCATCCGGTAAGGCGGATAAGAGGCAGTTATAGCACAGGCATCATGCGGCGGCAGCGGGGTCGGACCCTACCTCCTCCGTGGTGAGGTCCGGAGGATTCCTGCCCCTTGCCGGTGCGGTGGCATCGTCCTCAGCCAGCTCCGGCAGCAGCGCCTGGAGGTCGAGCCCCTGCTTGGGGAGGCTCTCTGCCTAAAACCATTAGGAAGTGCTTAAAGTATCCCGGGGGCTGAAGCACACCCGGCCGCCCTGCGTGCTCCGTGCTGTTCCGCTCCCTTCCCGGGATTTGCAAGGGGATTTAGGTCTGATTAGCCGGCTGCCAGCCCTGGCGCAGCTGCCCCGTGCCTGCCCCAGTGCACGAGCAGCCGGTGCCCGGCTTCAACCCAGCACCCCCCCACCACGCAGCAGCTCCTGGAATTCGCTCAGGACATTAATGCTGCCTTGACCACACTGGGAGAGGATTACCTGGGAGGAAAACCAGCCTGGGCGGGAATTGTCCTGCTTCCCAGACAGCAAGTCTGTGGCCATAGCGTTGACTGGCGCCTGGGCAATGCCGGGGTACCCAGATCCCCATCCCGCATCCCAGCCCCGCATCCCCATTCCGCAGGGGCTGGCGCTCACCAGCTTGCACTGGGCGACGGTCAGGTCGCCCAGCACGGCATCCACGATGCAGTCGGCCACGGCAGCTGTGACGGACAACTTGATTTCACTGGGAGCAGAGAGAGAGGTGTCAGGGCCAGCACCCACAGCCCCTGCAAGCCATGGGGCCAGCCCCCGCAGGGAGAGCCTTGCTGGGGAGTGGGTGCCACGGCCGAGCATCCCTGAGGGGCACCCAGGACATGCCCTGGGCTCCGGCTCGCTGAGCGTGTGCTGCCAGAGCGGGAAGGGGAGCAGGCGCTGGCTGGAATGGGGAATGCCGAGTGCATCCCCCCCATTGATGCTTGGGGCTCCCCTCTGCCAGCCACAGGGATGTGCCTGCAGGAACATCACCCTGTGGGACCTCCCAGTTCCCTAGGGGCACATCCGAACTGGATCTGAGCAGGAAGCAAAGCCACAGCTGGGAAAAAGCGGCAGCAGGACCCAGCACACCACCACCACCACGTGGGGAGGGGAACAGTTGGTAGGGAGCCCCCAAAATCCCCATCTGGCCCCACGGGTGAGAGCCAGCTGCCGAGCGAGAAGGAAGAATGGCGCGTCACCCACTTCAGCTTGCTGAAGACATCGGTGATCATCTGGTCCAGGACGGCGCTGAGGTTGAGGTGGTCCTGGAGGTAGATCCGCTCCGACATGGCGTTGACCAGCTGGTCCCTGACCCCGCTCTTCTGCACCACGGCTGGGCAGAGGCTGTGCGCCGTGTCCAGCGCCGCCTGCATGATCGCCTGAAGTTTGGGGAGGAAAGGGGAGTTTTTGGTGTCTTTTCTATCAGGATTCACGTGGTTTCCAGGACACGCCATGTCCCTCATCCTCGGGCCGAGGCTGATGAGCATCCCATGCCGCCGGCAGCTCCTCGCGGGTGCCCACCTGGATCTCCCGGCCGCAGATCTGTGATGCTTCCTCTGTGAGACACTCCAGCTTGTGCTGCAGCTTGCCGTTCTGGTACGGGGTGTTTCCCGCTTCGTACAAGAGGGGCAGGATCTGCCATGGGAAGAGAGACAGCACGGATCATCCCGTGGCACCTCATCCTTGCTTTCCAGCCTTCCATGCGCAGCCTGCATCCATGGCTGCCCCGTGGAAGAGCATCGCCTGCATCAGCTGGGGAGACGCAGCGACCTTCTGGCTTTGCTGGGCCAGGGTTGGGCACCCTGGCCCCTCGCGGTCCCTGTGTCCCCCCCCAGCCGGACCCTCAACTGCTCCCCACCACTCACTGACCCTCCTTCCCCACCCTGCGCCCAGCCACACCGCTGCCCACATCAGGGGAGATCCTTTCCCATCCCTTTCACCACCTTTCCACCACCAGCACTGTCCTCTTAAATCCTATCTCCACCGGATTAAGTACCCAGGGGGGTGCCAGGAGAGTCGGGAAAAAGAAAAAAGGAGGTGGTTTGAAGAGACGTATAGGAGGAGGAAAAGGCGCAATGGGGAGAGAGAAGCGGGAGCAGGAGGGTCAAACCAGGGCTGACAGTGCCAGGAGCTGCCCAGCCAACGTGGTGGCCTTCGTCATGGGCTGATGGAGCATCCTCATCACCGGGCTGCGTCCAGCTGCGGTGGGATGAGGGTGCCCCAAGGATGGACACCCCGGGGATGCGGGGAGTGTTTCTCACCGGTGTGGGCATCCGTGGGATGCAGGGTGTGCCCAGAGCTGGAGCACCCACCTCCTCCAAGGAGGGGTGCAGGAGCAGGGGGTGCCCTTGCTGAAGAGGGGGTGCACTTGTAACCCCCCAGTTCCCGGGTGGTGTGCACACACCTGTGTGCTTGCGCGTGGGGAGGATTGAGAACATTTTGGGACTTGTTCTAGAAGGGGATTCAGAAATTCACAGCTGTTCTTTAACATTTTGCAAAAGCTCGGTGATGGGCATCTGTTGCATTGACAATTCTGGTGTTCCCCAACTGCCGGTTAATTATGTCATTAACTAATCAATAATCTGCTTCGATCCTGAATTGAAGCCGGGCGAGTTGAGGGGTTTCCCCGCGCGGCAGACTCACACTGACGGAGAGGTTGGCGTTCCTGATGGCCTCCTCTGCGCAGAGGATGTCCGCCTCCGCCTCCCTGCCCGGGCAGGCGCTGAGGATGTCGACATGCTTCTGCACGCTCAGACAGATCTCGTTCACCATCTGGAGTGCGGAGAGGCTGCATCACGCACTGACGCCGGAGCAGCACTGCCAGTTCCCCTCCTTGCTGTGACTTTCCCGGAGAAGGATGTGCCGGAGCTGCCCAATGGGGCAAGCAGGGGCACAGGCAGGTTACAGCCCCCAGAGCATCCCTGCCTAATAACTGGGGATGCCACGTGGTGGGGATTTGCTTGCGAGCGTGCGCAGGGAGCTGGGGACACGCTGCGTGGGGTAGCATAGCAGCGAGATATCCCAGCGTTGCATATGCACGAAATGCATGGATGCCACCAGGAGGGTTCCTTGGAGATAGCCTTTCTGCCTGGCCCCACTCTCATCCCTCGGGACTGCTCTGCCCTCCACTCAGGAAAGGTGAAAAGGGGTTTGTGCTGCTTGCGGGAGCTCACACGAGCTAGCCAGGTGTTGTTCGGGGCAGGGGAGGGCAGCCCCATGGCAACAACTTGGCCGGCAAACCTGTTCAGAAGAGGTGGTGAGGATGCCCTGCTGCAGGCGGAAGGTCTGCGTGGGCAGCGTGCGCCGCAGCTGGTTCCTCGTCAGGCAGGACTGGAGCTGCAGCAGGCAAGAGGCCATGAGCAACTGGTGTCGCAACCGGTGTCGGTGGCACCTGGCCCCGCACCCCCCAGCCCGCGTCCCCCCACCTTGTGCACCGCCTCCTCCGTTTTCTCGGGGTTGCTGCGGTATGCCTGCGCCACGTCGCTCATCGGCAAGGGCATCGACTTGAGGGTGTAATTCCTGCGAGGCAGCGCAGGGGTGAGCGGGTGCTGCCGGACCCCTCGTCAGCCTTGCGGGGCTCACCCCCGCCATGCATTTCCCCACGGACATAACGTCAGTCCAGAGCCCACCCGATGGCAGCCCAGACATTGCCCCGAGGTCCAGCCCTGGAGATGGGGATGGCCAAACTCTGGCCGTCAGAAAAACCCAATGGGGCGGCAGCGACCACCCGCCCGGGCTCTCCATCCACCCCTCTTTCTTCAGACCTCCAGAGAACCTGCACAGCCAGCCACCAGACCTGACGGTGTGCTCGGCAGGTGGACAACTTCTACCCGTCTTTCATGGGCAGGGAGGAGAGGAGCATCACATCTCCACCAACAGCAGATCCCCCTGTGCTCGCTGGGGGCCGCCTTGGGTGACACGGGGCTGTGCTGGGTTAGGATGCAGAGGCCAGGGGAGACCCTGAGGTCGGTAACGAAGGTGCCATCACCGAATGGATGGCAGGTTGCTTCGCTGGCTGCAATGCCCGAGCTGTGGACCAACTGCCTTGGGACCTGTATGCAACTGTGATGCACTCGCTGCTTCAAGGGGACAAGAGGGCCTGGGGACGGTGACATCCTGGTGCCAGAGGCTCCTTTGCATGGTGGTAGCAAGCCAGGAGGACCAAGCGGCTCCTTCCTTACCTCTCCAAAGCTTGAGCCACCTCCAGGAGACCATGGGCGGTTGTGTTGTTCCTGTCCCAAACCACGGTCCTGCAAAGAGAAGGACACGAGTGAGCCCTGCCCGCACCCACCCAGCCCCGAGGTGGGTGCCCACCCACCGGGTGCCAGGAAGAGCGAGCCCAAGGCTGACCCCAGGCACCAGAAAGCCTAGAAATGGGGTTAAAAATCAGAATCTCAATATTCAAAACCTAAACTTGGACTTTGCAAGGAGCTGTAAAATACGTGGGTGCCTGGAGGGAGTGAAGGGCAGGGAGGACACGGTCAGGCACCATCCTGCTGGCGGGGGCAGACGTCCCCCAGAGGAACAGCCCTGACTGGGAGATGTCCCCTGCAGACACCCTGCCTTGCCTTTGTGGGCACAATGGGGGTCAAAAAATGGCATTTTAGGAACTGGTGCCAGAGCGTGGGGTGAGGGCAGCGACTGCAAGGGTCCGGCTGCAGCATCCCAGGATGTGCAGGAGCCTGGCAAAGAGCTGGCAAGTGCCGGGGCAGGGATTTGAGCTGCTCTCTCGCCGTTCACATGTCCCCTGCCAGCACTGCCAGATGACTGCCATGAGAGCAAGATACGGTCACAGCATCTGACCGTGTGCCAGGAATGGTCCAGGGCCACATCCGTGGTCACCAGGAGCCATGATAAGCCTCCTCTGATGGCATCAGCATCACAACCAGGACCACCCGGCACAAGGTGGGAAGGGCACCCACAGGGCCATGTGGACCTGCTGCTACCTGAGCTTCGTGTTGATCTGCAGGGCCTTGGCTAGCATCTTGGCCCCCGTGTCCCCCATGGCGTTGCCGCTGATGTCCAGAGCGATGAGACTGGTGTTACTGCCCAGGGCACTCAGCAGGACGTTGGTTCCCAGCTTGAGGCGCGATTCGGCCACGGACAGGGACTGGAGAGGCTAGAAAGGGGACAAGGAGGGGAGAGGTGGCCAGGACACACGTCAGGACGTGTGTCACCCTTGTAGACACAGCCTCCATCCCCGTCCGGCAGCCGCTGGGCTGGCAGCTGCTGCGGGCACCTGGTGCTGGTTTTGGAGAGCCCAAGTCACGCTGAGCCCCAAGAAAAGGAGGGCAACGGGTGCTTAGGCAACACCCTGGATTTAGCTCAGATGCCTGGCAGGCAGCGAGGAGGAAAGAGGTTGGTTTTGGGTTTTTTTTTTGGAAAGCTGGGCTGCAGCCAGGTTACACCAAGCATCTCCTCTGTGCCTTTAGCCAGACACAGGCTCCCGCTTTCCCAGATGAACGGGAACAGCTCTCGCTTCTCTGTCTGAGCATCTGCTTCAGACGGAGGAAAATAAGAGCAGAAGGATTTGAATGGCAGTGGGAGGAAGGGAGTTTTTCTCCCAGCCTGTGCTGGGAGGGATCTGGACAGCACCCTGGCACGGAGGCTGCATGGTGGTAGCGGAGGGTGACCGAGAGCACGGGTGGGACAGTTGGGGAGGTTGAGGGCAAGCTGGACTTACGCAGTCGTCCTCCTGGGTGAGCTGGACGATGCGGTGCAGGACGTCCAACAGCCCATCCCTGCGGGAGAGGTGGTGGTGGGGGGTTACACGCGCATCCCCCAGGGCCACAGGGGCGGCTGGCAGCGCTCCGTCCTCCCTCCCGCTCTTGCCTGAGGCTGCGACCTGTCCCTGCAGCACCTGCGGTCCCATAGGGACAGCACCAGGAGCAGGTGACGGTCCCCCCACGGCCCCAGTCTCCCCATTGGGTTGGAGCAGGCAGACGGGCAGGCAATCCCTGGCATTCCCGACCAGCCCATGGGCTTTGGATGGGGAGAGAGTGTCGAGGTGGGTGCATGGTGCCAGGATGGCTCCTCGCCCGGGTGCTGCGGCTTTGCGCTTACTTGGATTTGATGTTGAAGTTTTTCCCCAGAGAGACGTGCCTAATGGACTTGCTTCTGCCGATGGAGAGCACCAGCGTCACCATGTCGGGGTCGAAGCCTGTGAGAGATAGGAGACACTCCCTGGGATGCTCCAAGCAGTCCACAGAGGTGGCACCAAGGTGGCCCCTCACAGGAGACCCGCAGAGCCACCAAGCTGCTGCCATGGGATGGTGGAGAGATGCCCAGGGCAAGTCCTGAGCATCTTCCTCCTCTTCATGGCTCCCCCAAGGAGACCGAAGACCCGTGCAGAGCCGGGGTCCCTGAGAGGTGACCCCAGAGAAGGAGCACCCGCTCTGGGGACTCCTGCTATTTGGGGTGCCAAGGCTGTGCTGAGCGCTTACGGAGCTAGAGACGGCGCTTGCTTTCTGCCATCCCGCAGGTATGTGCCCTCCGTCACCCACCCACCACCCTGGACAACACGGGAGGGGCTCTCGCAGTTTGCAGGCAGCTGCCTGCACTCCCATCCTCACGGCTGCAGCATCCCCAGGGAAACTCGGCAAGCAAAGGTGATGTCCTTCCCACCAGGCAGGGATGCGGGCAGGGATCTGCTCGTGCAGCCGCTCTGCCAGCCAAGGGCAAGAGGCACCAAGACCCACCTACGGGACCGTCCCTCCTGCACGGAGCTGCTCTACTGGGAAAGCCAAAAATAGAAGCATATTTTGGCAAATGTTGGCCGGAGATTTTGGGTAGGAGAGTGAGCTTTTGGAGCACTGGTGGCCTGAAGAGGTTTTTGAAGGACTCCAGACCACGTCAGCTTTCCCAGAGCCAGCTGGCTGTCGAGGAGCTGCATGGTCTGCTGTGAGATCTTAGCAAGACTGCTTTAAGGTTTGGGGCCTTTTAGGTGAAATTAAGAGCTGGCAGAGGTGATGTTTGTGATAACTAGGATTGCTCGCCCATGGCTTTGGAGGCCACAGCGGGACAAGGTTAGCAGCAGAGGCTGCAAACTCCTGCAGAGAGGTGGAAAGAGTTTCAGCCCAGGGAGACCTTTTTAATGCTTCAAATCCCCAGCAAGCAACGTGAGACCACCTCGGGTTCAGTGAGCTGAAGGGGCTTGTACCAAGAAACATATGAAACAAGAATTTTTGGCAAGTCCTGGGGCAGGAGGGGATGAAGAAGTCACCCCACACCCCGTGCTGGAGATGCTCCCTCTGAATGAGGGGAGAGGCAAGGGCCACCACCGCTACCCACCACGGGATGCAGCACTGGAAGGTGATGGAAGAGGCCTGGCATGCTGGGAAGGACATCAGCGGATGAAGAAGAGCACATGTAAGGACTTGCTTTGGGAAGGCGGAGGGGTGATTGGTTTTGGGGGTAAAAAGCCATAAAAGCCTGATGAGGTGGTAATTTCTCAGGCAGGAGTCCACCGCTTGCCGTTGGGTGCCTTCATCCCCGTGAGACACAGCTGGTAGTGCTGCAGCTTCTGCTGCTAAAGGGCTTTTACAGGTGACAAGTGCAGTTTAATGTAGCATTAGCCAGCGCGGTTAAGAGGCCGGCAAGCGCAGCAGACCCTACCCATCTCCCTGGGGACTCCTAAAAGCTCACGAGGTGCTGGGGCTGAGCTGGCCTCTGCCAAACGGCCCGTGGTGGCTGGACCCGCAGATGGAGGAGATCTTCTCCCAGGCGGGGAAAAAAGCAACCTACCGTTGTCAGACAAGTCCAGGTCACTGATGGAGCTGGCGTGAGGGATGAGATCCTGGATGACCTGGGCCCCCGCTGATCTCAGCTTGGAAGAAACAGCAAGACATCAGTACAAGGGGAGGCGCCGAGCCCTGCAAACGAGATCCTGCCATCGGGAAGGTCACCCCAGCCCCGCAGCAGACAGGGCACGGACCTTCCCGCACAGGGAGCAAGCCCCCTTGACTGCCGCAATGGGAACCCCTGGCTGGAATGACGGCACCCGTGGGTGCTGGCCCCTCACCTCGCAGTTGCTAAGGTCCAGGTGCAGGTCACTGATGTGACTGTTGTCTGCCAGCCCTTGCAGCAACGCCCTGGAAAAGTCACCGAAGCCACCCATCGGTGCGAGCAACGGGGGCACCAGCACTCACCATGGGGCACCCCGCAATGGTCCAGGCAGTGGGAGCGGGGTGCTGGAGAAGACATCCTTCCCAGAGCTCTGTCTCTCACAGCCCCATCCATCCTCCCCCACCAGCCCTCTCAACACGCAAAGCCCTCCCCAGACCCCAGACCATGCTCACCCCATCCCCTCGGT